CCCACGACAACGACGGCGACCACCACAACTACAACCACGTCCAAAACCACGTCGACGACGACGACCACGACCACGACCACGACGACGACGACGACGACGACGACGACGACGTCCACCACCACCACCACAACCACAACCACAACCACAACAACAACAACAACAAAAGCAACAAAAAGCAACAAAAGCAACAAAAGCAACAAAAGCAACAACAACAACAACAAAAGCAAAACAAAAGCAACAACAACAACAACAACAACCACAACCACAACCGCAACCCAACAACAACGACGATGACGACGACGATGACAACGACGATGACGACGACACAGTCAGACTACAGTACTGTAGGAGCCGCTGCTCGTCCCAAACAGCTCTACTACCATGCTCTATGGGTTTTCGATGTTTCCGCGATGAGGTCTCGAACCATTTCTTCACAACCGCGTTTGGAACAGACTCATGGCACCTTGCGACGTCAAAATCATAGTCACTGGAGATGCGCTCAACATGCTCAACGTGCCAGAAGTTGCTATAAACAGCTACTGTAGACGTGAACGTTACGGAGCTCAGCTTTACACATGTTCACGTCCCACAGATCTGCAAAACGAGACCACCGGAAGAAGCTTTGCAGGGAGCGCAGACCAGCAAGAAAAAAAGCGCTAACTTTCGACAACAGGTTTGACATGCTCGAGACAAAACATGGATGCATGTTTGCAACACTGTCCACACTTTCGAGGTCCTGAGCTGCAACCTAGCGCAGCTCTTGTGAGAAATTTCAGATCAACAGCAGCAAAGAGAGCCGCGACAGGCAATTCTGCACAATCAAAATATGCCTTGGAGTGTGAAAGCGGCGCTGACGTCTGCACATCGATTGCGTCAGCTGCCTGTGTATTTTATGGCACAGGCTCTGCTAGGCCAGGACCCTCGCTTAGGCCCGGCAAACGAAGCGTCCACCGGCTGGGAATTTCTGCCTCTCACGTGTGGCGGTGAGCCTCCCCCCACTTCAAGCAAGCTATTGGCAGCTTTCACTGTCCAAACACCTCAAGAGCTGCACACGCCTGCAATGACTGGACTGGCTGTCGAGGGTAATGATGGCGTCGGGCTTGATGCGAGACTTCTTGTCTCGACAAATGCCTGCCAAAAACTGGTAAAAAGCACAAGTGCTGGTACTTGTGCCTGGCCTTCGGGCGGCACCGCATGACCGCTCGGGGAAAACTGACATGGCTGGCCAATCTAAACATTTGGCTGGAAGGATGACTGACCCTACTAACGTCAAGATAGATGCTTCTGGCATCTCGGACAACTTTCCTGCTACCTGCTGATAATGGAGCCGGTTCTGCAGCAGGCGGATAGTTCTTTGCAGCTGCCAGAGGAGCACACAAACATCTATGGATGAGCTGTCTGCCTTTCAAGACACAGGTCTGGCCATTGGAATTCGCAGTTCGACTCCCTTGGCCAGCTCTC